TGCATGTGTGTGTGTGCAGTGTGTGTGAAGATGGATGTGTGTGAGGATGCATGTGTGTGTATGCATGTGTGTGTGTATGCATGTGTGTGAGGATGGATATGTGTGAGGATGCATGTGTGTGAGGATGCGTGTGTGTGTGTGTGTGTGTGTGTGTGTGTGTGTGTGTGTGTGTGTGTGTTGGTGAGGTGCCGATGGCAACCTCAGCAGCAAACTCAGAATCCCAGGAGTTCAGGAGAAGCTTAACACCATGTAGGTCAGCCTGCGAGGGCAAAGCTGAGCTTTAGGGGGGAAGGAGCATGCAGGCTGTGGGACACAGAGCTGGACCCAGTGCAGATGTCGGAGCTCTGGCTACCACCTGGGCCTCTGCTCTCACACCAGGTTGCAGGGACAGGAGGCACTGAAGCCTGTGGGCAGCTGGGATTCCATCTCTGCATGAGACCCTCTGCTCTGCCCAAAGGTGCACTGTCTGCTTCCAAAGCCTAGCGAAGTCTGGCATGCCGCAGGCTGACGGGGCCATTCCTGGCTGGGACTGGGGCTTACTGGTGAGTCAGACCCTCGAGACCCTGGTCCTGCGAAATGAAGAGAGCAGCGCCGGTGTGTTCTGTGCAGGAGCCCTTCCTGTTCCTTTTGCATCACATAATGAGGTGGGTTGTCCTACAGGGCCACCACGCAGGGCACGCTGCCTCTTTACAGCGCTTCTGCCCACAGATAAGCCTGGCACAGATGGGGCCCCATCCACCTGACAGGGAACAGGGCCGCGTGTGCATGCGACCTCAGCAGGAGGAATAAGAAGCCATTCTCATACCTGGCCTGGGAGGACGCAGAGATGGGGGCTGGCTGAGGGGAACTCTCTGAGGCAGGTGCCTTCTCTTCCTGCTCCCCTCTCTAAATACGGGAGATGCAGTTTCATAGCAGGAAAGCAAGAAACCGACTCACTCCCAATTCTTAGAGTCTTTTCCATCCGGAGCCAGCACAGCCTTTGGACTTCCTAGTTTCGTGAGCCGATAAATTATTTCCTTAGGATCAGTATAAGTTGGATATTTGTCAATTCTAACCCAGAAAAACTTCATTAATAAAACGAGAAACCTGAAGTTCAAGGTGGCTGAGAGGATGTCTGCCCACGACTACAGAGGCGGCAGGAGCTGAGCCCAGGTGCATGCCAGTTTGGGACAGCTTGAGAGCACTGGATCCAGGGACTTGCCTCTGTCACCATCCTCAGGCCATCAAGCCAGGACGTGGAGGAGGCCTCAAGGGCTTGGAATAGCCCTTCCTTCCTTCCTTCCTTCCTTCCTTCCTTCCTTCCTTCCTTCCTTCCTTCCTTCCTTCTTTCTTTCTTCCTTTCTTTCTTTCTAATTAAAAAAATATATTGAAAGCTGGGCATGGCGACTTTAATCCCAGCACTTGGGAGGCAGAGGCAGGTGGATCTCTGTGAGTTCAAGGCCAGCCTGGTCTACACAGTGAGTTCCTGGACAGCCAGGACTGTGTACAGAGAAACCCTGTCTCGAAAAACCAAAAACAAACAAACAAAAAAAAAAAAAAAGATATTGAAACTCAGGCCTCGTGCTCTCCCGTTGAACTACATTCCTAACCCCAGGTTGTAATTTCTTTAACGTACCATTTACCGGCTCCCTGTTGTGAGGTAGGCATTGTGCTAGGCCTTGAGGCCAGAGTAGTGAACAGGTTCATGGAGTGCCAAGACCAAGTTTACTAATGACTTTCTCACTGTAGGGCCCTATCAGTAACACGCTGTTTGACTTTGGGCAAAACACACAACCTCTTTGAGCCTCTCCCAAAGAAGGGTCCACGGGACAACGCAGCTAGAGTAAATGGCTCAGTAAACAGTAGATGTGACCAGAGCTCCTAGGGGACAGTGTCATTCCTGTCCAGCATCATTACTTCCCGGAGCCTCCTCCTACGCTGGTCGCTGGTCGGAAGCGCGGAATAAATCCAACAACAGTATGGGGGTGTGTGTGTGTGTAAGGCTAGAATTCAAGAGACGCCACCAAACCGTGGAGGGGTCAAGGGGTAGCCCAGAGTGGGGTTTGGACCCAGAGTAACACTGCAGGAGGTCAAGGAGGAAGGCTGCCCGGGGTTGGAAAGGACGGAGACTGGTAAAGGAGAGCGAGTGCATCTGGGGGCGACATGACCTTGGGGTCCTACAGGAAAGGAGCAAGCACTGGTTCTGAGGCTCCAGGGAAGGGGCGTGGCTTCAAGAAGGTGCTTTAGAAGCCCATTGCTCTGACGCATGCGTGTTGGGGGCCAAAGCCTGAGCCATGGCTGCCCTGGAGATAGGGACTGGAATGGGAGGGACAGGTGTGAGAAAGATCGAGAAAACAGACGACTCCTATGACACAGTGGTACGAGAGCCCAAGAAGTCTGAGGCGTTTCCCATGAGCCCTGGGCAGACAGGGTCTGGCCTGACTGTCGGCCTTGGTAAGGCTGCAGGATCCCTTTCAAGTCAGTGCTGTGGGGTGGTAACGCAGTCGGGGGGCACGGGGCGGAATATACACAGGGTCAGATCCTATGCCAGGGAGGAGAGGTGGCTTCCTAGACCCCAAACCAGGGCCTGAGGAGACAACCCAGCAGAAAGGTGTTCTCTAGTCTGATGCTGCGTCAGGGACTGTGAGCCAGCAAGCCAAACAGTTCTGAGCTCAGCCCTGCTTTGTAAGTCTCCAAAGAGGGCCTAGGGTCAGCGAGCCAGGCCTGTGATTCCTAAATGGAGGCTGCGCCCAGGCCCCAGGCACTCAAGCCTCCCACCCTGGGGCCTGGCTCAGGTGCCCGATGAGGCAGCTGGCAACAGGCAGGCAGCTCACACCCACCCCGGGCCTGTCTCTTCCCAGCCTCGCTCCTGACAGCCCAGCCTCCCGTAATTGCCTTCTAAAAATATCCTCCCCCCCCAACCCCCCACCTCTTGATTTCAAAATATTTAGTTTTCAGGGTATTTAAAATGAGAGCTGGCGGCTCTTCCAGGCCCAGATAACAAAACTAAACATTTATGCTTTGACTGCATTTCTCTGAATTGGCTGAGATCTGGGGTTTGATACGCAGCAGCAGGAGGGAGGGGGGCTGAGTGCAGAAAAGATCACGTGCCGGTCTCCTGAGGGCTGAGGGGCAGCTGATCTACTCGGGCCCCCCCCCACCCTTCCCTTTTTTGAGGGACACCTACCGCTGTTCACATGGAGCCGGCCCCTCACGCTGTCCTTCCCAAGGATGTTCTCAGCTTCACAGACATACTCCCCAGCGTCTTCCAGCTTCACCTTGTTGAACTGTAGTCGTGAGTTCTTTCTGGTTTGGAAGAGGAAAGAGGGAGAGAGAGGTGTGAGGCAGGGCTACCGTTCTCAGCGGTCACTTCCCCGAACCACAGTGGCTGTGTAGGCTGGGTGAGAAGAAGGTTCCTCCGGCCGGCTTTTTTCTAGAGCACAGGTGGTACCCTGAACCCTGGAGCTGGGAGGGAGACTCGAACCCTCAGGACAACACAGGGTGCATCTGGCCACGGCACGCATGCTCTACATCTCTGAGTTTTCACATCTCTTTTCTTGGGGCTGGGTTTCTTTGTACCATTTTTCTTGGGGAAGAACAACCAGGCCCCTTAGGAAGTCACATGGCCACATCTCTCATTCCCAGCTGCCTTTGCTGTCCATAGAAAGAACAGCAGATTGTCACTGTTCAGTGTTAGGGTTTGAACGTGTTTCCCAGAGTCTACTGGTCCCCACTGCAATGGTGCTAGCAGGTCACAAGGACACACATTGAGAAGGCCCTCATACCCTTGATTTGGAGTTCTCAGCCTCTACAGCCGGGGACCAACTCCATCCCTACTGTTTACAGGTAAACCCATCTGGATACTATGTTAGAGCAGCAACATGGACCCCGACTCCCAGGTGCCTGGGAGGACACCTGTCTGATCGCTTCAGTGGCAACTGTACCAGTCTGGGGTACCAGTCCAAGTCTAGGGTTCTCTCCTACCATCCACTCAGCCTTGCCATGAGGGGGCCTCTGCAGCTTCTTCTGCAACAGGCTATTGTTTTATGCCTTCCTTGAATGTCTAACAAGCGCCTCCCAGATGCTGGAAACCATGTGCTCCAGGGTCTGGAGCCTCAGGGCCGATTAGGGTATCCTCTTCTTGTATATGGGCAAATGAAGTCTTTAGAGGGCTCTTGGGTTGCTGGCAGGCACTCAGCAAGGCAGAGGAGAGGTGGACCCGGAGCTGAGGAGCAGTGAGGACACCGGAAGCTAGGGCTGCCCCTTCCTCTAGTCTCTCACTTGATGGCCTGAGGCCCAGTCCTAGTAGCCCCCCCTCCGCCCCCCAGCTGTGACTCTAGAGCATGTAGGTTTGTTTGGCTTCTTTCTGAAACCCTGACCAAATCTTGTGTCTTCCACAAGGCTCCCCTGCAGTGCTCTGGGGTATCTTAGTTCTGCAAGGCTCTGTTCACAGCCCCCAATCCGTCCCGCATGCATCTGACGCACGCTGGGGTCCAGAAAGTGCTCTGGATAAAGCCAGGGGCCCGAGAAAGGACACAGTGTCTGTACATGCTGTGACCTCCTCCTTTTTTTAAGTGACGGATAAAAAACCAGATTCCTTGCATATGCACAGTTGGCTAGGGTACAGGCAGGGTAGAGCCGGGCTGCCACCGCCCGGCCTGAGCCCCAAGGCTGCAAAAGAGAGCCATGACCCTGCTGGCATATGGACCGGGATGGGAATGGGGACAGGATGTGGGCTATGGGGAAGGAATGGGGGGAGAGCTGGGCAGAAAGCACCTCCCTCTTGGCTTTACCTCGGCCTTTGGAAATTGGCCTCTTCTCAAATATCTCACTCTCAGATTCCCATGAGCTCGCTGCAGATTGATGGACCTCACTGCGGTGGTGATGGCCTCGCTAGTGTGGTGACAGTGACTTGACTGTATGCCCTGTCGTTCCTGCTTCATGCTGGTCTTCCTCCCTGGGGCTTGTGCCTGCTCACAGTTCTCCCCTACCAACTCGTTTCCTTCGTGGGGCAGAGCCCCGGGGGTCCCCTCTGACTGCACACATCCGCTTCCCACCTCAAACTAACTAGATGCCACAGAGTCCCACTTGCCTGGGACAAGCTTCCCTCACTTTCTTGCATGCTGGAGAGGCAGGGAAGTGGGGGTGGGTGGAGGGGTGGGGGGTCAGCTGAGGGCAAGAGAGAGTTCATGCACTGGGGACCCAGAGCCAGCAAGACCCTCATGGTCACCCACAGGAGCACTCAAAGGAGCTTTCCTCGTAGGATGCCGTTTGTAGCAGGACAAGGCAGCCCATCTAAGGAGCAACACAGACTTGGAGGAAGGACTCCCACCCAAGGGCACAGGGCTTGGCAAAGGCCCCCCTTCTGGAGAAGAAAGAGGCGACAACATCTCTCAGGTGCGGCAGGCATCTTGGTTCACTGAGGCTCCAGAGGTCTCGGGGAAACGGGACCCAGAGCTACAGCTGAGAATGGGCCCCGAGAGCTCTCCTACACTCTCCTCATTCTTAGGTCCATCTGGAGTCCCTAGGATTCAGGGTTCTCTCCTTGCCTTCCTGGAAGGCAGGCAGGGTGCACACTCCTGCCACCCCATCAAGGCGCTGACCCGGGTCTGCCCCTGCCAAGGTTGCCGTCCCTGCCTCCCTAGCCGGTTCTCTGCTGGCAGCGACAGGATCTGGGCAGCCCCACACTTTCCTCAGTGCCTGCCTCCCCTGCCTGCCTGAGGGGCCTGTCCCAGCCTGCCCCTCATAAATAAGGGAACATGCGGTTCTGCAGCGGAGGGCCTGTGCCCTGGGCTCGGGGGGCAAGTGTTCTCCTGGCTCAGGAAGGCCTGCATGACAGGGCAGTTTGGCGGGCACAGAGACAGACAGTCAGCCCCTGTCGGGAAGGCCGTCTCCGCCAGCCAACAGAGACGCTGACCTGACGCTGAACGGAGCCTGGGCAGGTAGAGCACGAGGAACTCAGGGAGGAAGGACAGAAAAGAGTCAGAAAGGAGGCTCCTAGCTGCATGCGTGAGTGCGTGCGTGCGTGCGTGCGTGCGTGCGTGCGTGGCTCTGGCTCCTGTATGAGGTGTGCTCATGGGGGAATGGGTAGTATAGAGAGCTGGCGGTTCTCTAGGAGTCACTTTGAAGGTCCCTGCCGTGACCCACTCTTCCACAGCTAACCATTTACTGCCGGGAGACCAGGGACAGGACAGGCGGGGCAAGAGACATTTCAGAAGGCAGCTCATGGGGAAGGGGCCGTGTCCTGCTTGAGACAAGGGTCTACCACCTAAGCCTTGTCTCTGGATTAGGTCACCCATGTATCAGATGAATCTGAGGCTTTACCAGGAAGTTAGTTGTTTAGAAGGTTGGACTCTCCGTAGGGACCCTGTTCGGCCTCTTGAAGGACGACATCATAGTGCGGGAGGGGAGGGCCGGTCACACACTTGTGAGCCTCACACTGAATATGGATCTCTGCTTCTAGGCTTATAGGGGAGCAGGGGGAGGAGGTAGAGGGGCTCCCCCTGAGGAGGAGTGATCGATTTCTCAGTGGTGAGATGAAGCTAGGTCTAAAGTACTCTCAGAGGACGTGGGAGCTGATTGGAGGGCTCGGGTGGATATTCCGGAGATACAGCATTCATGCTGGGCCTTGGAGGGCTTTGCTGGGGACAAGAGGGGCAATTTTCCTAGTACAGGGGACAGCCTGGGTCCAAGTCCAGGGCTGTGAAAGGAAAGACCAGGGGTTGGGCCTCTAGTAGGGACAGATCAACAGGGTGGTGTGATGTTTAAGCCAGCAAGGATTGGGAGGGCCCCAAGGCTGTCAAATAAGGAAGGGATAATTTCGTGGAGGTCTGGTTGGAAAGGATCATCTGTTGCAGGCACTTGTAGGGGGCCCGAGAACTAGAATCATAATATTATTATTAGTCCAGATTCTATGCTGGAAATTGGCCCAGATCCTCATGAAGGCAGGGGCCACAGCTGGCTTGTCCACCAATGTATCCCGAACCTCTAGCAGAGGGCTTGACACAGTCAATACTCTATACCCCCAGGTTAGCTGCACAGATTACCTCACAAAGGGGCCTGTGGCCCAGGAGGTAACCGAGAGTATGGTGGGAGAGGGTAAGAAGCTAGGCAGAGGGGAGGTCAGGTGGGAAACATTTAGGGCAGGGAGGTCGTGTCCACCTGCAGAGATGGCAAGGGGTAGGTGTTGGGGTGTCTGGGGGTGCACAGCAGAGAAGCACAAGGAGCAGCTGGGTTAGTGAGGGTGGGGCCGAGGGGCTGGTTGGGAGCATTCTGAGTCAGAGACTCTGCAGGAGCGGTGTTTGGGGCTCAGCTGTCAGCACAGTGTAGAACTTGGATGAAACTGCCACCATGCCTCCAGTTGCAGGCCTGGATCTCAGGTCTCAGAGGTGTGAAGCCGTCAGAGGGTGGCATCACCCACTGGTGGGGAGGGAGAAGGCCGCAAAGCCTAAGATGTAGGGAAGCCCAGCACCAGTGGAATCTGGGAGAGAGGTCTGACTCACAGCAGGGCCAGCTGAGAAGCCACAGGGAGAGGCAACAGGTGTCCCCGAACCAAGCGCTACTGCTGGGAGGCCCAGGCTTGGGAGCCCAGAGGTCGTGGGTGGAGGGGCTGGGATGTGCTGAACTGGATGTGCTGCCTGGGGTGAGACAGTGTGGACAGGATGAAAGGAATGGAGCAGGGGCCTCAGGTGACTGCATGGTGGTGGAAGGAACCAGGGACAGCAGCCAGGGGGAGTGGCTTGGAAGAGGGGTGGACAGGATGAGGTCCGCTGGGAGGGAGAGGGAGAGAGGGAGAGAGGGAGAGAGGGGAGAGTTACCAAAGAAAGACAAGAACTGCTGGTGCCTTAGCAGAGTGGAGCATGTGTATGTGAATGTGGTGTGAGTGTGAGTGTGTGTGTGAATGTGGTGTGAGTGTATGAGTGTGTGTGTGTGAATGTGGTGTGAGTGTGAGTGTGTGTGTGAATGTGGTGTGAGTGTGAGTGTGCACTCGAATGTGATGTGAGTGTATGAGTGTGTGTGTGTGTGAATGTGGTGTGAGTGTATGAGTGTGTGTGTGTGAATGTGGTGTGAGTGTATGAGTGTGTGTGTGAATGTGATGTGAGTATATGAGTGTGCGTGTGAATGTGGTGTGAGTGTGCATGTGAATGTGGTTGAGTGTATGAGTGTGTGTGTGTGAATGTTATGTGAGTGTATGACTGTGTGTGTGAATGTGGTGTGAGTATATGAGTGTGTGTGAATGTGGTTAAGTGTATGAGTGTGTGTGAACATGATGTGAGTATATGAGTGTGTGTGTGAATGTGGTGTGAGTATATGAGTGTGTGTGAATGTGGTTAAGTATGAGTGTGTGTGTGAATGTGATATGAGTATATGAGTGTGTGTGAATGTGGTGTGAGTATATGAATGTGTGTGTGAATGTGGTGTGAGTATATGAGTGTGTGTGAATGTGATGTGAGTATATGAGTGTGTGTGTGAATGTGGTGTGAGTATATGAGTGTGTGTAAATGTGGTTAAGTGTATGAGTGTGTGTGTGAATGTGATGTGAGTATATGAGTGTGTGTGAATGTGGTATGAGTATATGAGTGTGTGTGTGAATGTGGTGTGAGTATATGAATGTGTGTGTGAATGTGGTTAAGTGTATGAGTGTGTGTGTGTGTGTGTGTGTGATTGTGATGTGAGTATATGAATGTGTGTGTATGTGTGAATGTGGTGTGAATGCATGAGTGTGTGAATGTCTGTATATCGTAAGGGAGGGCATGAGGCAGTATGGTGCAAGGTCTGGTGGGATGGGGATGGGCAGACGAGTGCCATGTTGGGAGCAGTGTGGCAGGGAATGGCCGGCACCTTCCCTGGACTTCGTAGATTCGGGGAGACAGGGGGGAAGCTGGAGGGAGGTGCCCCCTCCAGCCCCAGCTCCAAAGGTCCTGTCCACTACTGTTCTAGGCTGGTTCCAAGACTATAGCAGGGTGGTGGGGAGGGGTGTAGGGTGTAGGGGTGTTTAGACTGGATTTCTTGCCAATGTTATAGAACCTACCCCCCCACCTCTCCAGCTACCACAGTTCCCTCAGGAATGAGCCTTCCTGTAGCCACAGACCTCTTATCTAAACCCGTCCTGTATGACTTTTTGCCTGGGCCACTTTCTGTCTTTGTCCCAAGTAACCAGTTTGTCTTTGGTTTAAGTCTTGTTAGGAGAGTGGAGGCAGAGCCGAGCTCCGGGAACCCCACTTCTCCTCTCAGGTTGCGGGGGGCCTCCGAGGCGAGGTAGGGGTGGCCCGAGCCCGGACATTCACCTAACACTTTCTGTTGTGGGGTAGGCTGATGGTCTCTAAAAAAACACCTTTGTTTGCATTTTTGGAGGGCTAGAGGAAAACGATATCTCCAAAGGGGGCGGTTGCAAGCTACTCTGGGGGTTGGGGGTAGAAAAGACTTGAGGGGCTCCTTAGTCGGAACACAATGTCTACCTAGGCTCCAGAGCCCACGGAGAAAGGTCGGTGGAAGTGTGTCTAGTGGCAGACAGGCAGGAGCTGCTTAGACTCCAGGCTCTCCTGGCACCTCCTGCCCCTTGCCTGGATAGAGTTGAGGGTTTCTTCCCCAGCCTGAAGACTCAGGGAGCGTGCACACCACGCTCCTGAAATACTCATTTGGGACTAAAGATAATCTTCATGCAGTGGGGGAGGGTCACAGGTAGACCCCCTGATGTCAGTCAGTGAGCTCTTCCCACTTACTAAGCTCTCTACACATGGCAGCTTGCCAAGTCAGGACCCCATCTTTTTATCTTATGTGACTCCCCAAAGATCTTCCACAGACGGGGTCTTTTCTCCTAAAACTGCCAGGTTTGGGATCTCTCGGATGGATGCTAGGTCTTTTGACAAGCAGGACTTCTGCGGCGACAGGCAGCCCAGAGTCAAAGGGCCCTCCCACCTTCAGACACAGAAATTGCTTCATTGCCTTTTCACTGTGAGACAGGGTCTCATCTAGCCAAAACTGGTTTCAACTTGCTATGTAGCCGAGGATGACCTTGAACTTCTGGTCCTCCTGACTCCGCCTCCCAAGTGCTGGGATCAAAGGCCCGGGCCACCACGCCTGGTTTTATGTGGTGTTAGGTTTGAACCCAAGGCTTTGTGCATGCTAAGCAAGCACTTTATCCACCGAGCTACATCCCCAGCCCCAGGAATTGCTTAATCCTTGCCCATGGACTGCAATACCAAGGCAGGCCTGGCCCGAAGGGCTCAGCACTCAGGGAAGCCTTGGGTGTGGCCAGGAAGGGACCCATGGAGGGGGACCTGACTGGTTCCACACTGGGTTTGGGGATAGGACACTGGCCCTCCCGTCCAGGACCGGAAGCTGGCGGGATGGAGGGCAGGTGGCGCCGCTCACCTGCCATTGCCGTACTTGATACGGATGTCGCGGCTCCGGTTGAGCTCCTTGCCGTCCTTGAACCAGCGGTAGGAAGGCTGGGGGTTCCCCGCCGCCGCCTCACACTTGAGCGACTGCTTCTCACCCACCTCTCCTGTCTGGCTCTTCATCTTCTTCAGCTTGGGCCGCGTGGCTGCGGGGTACAAGGCAGGGAGGTGAGTGTGGGGGTGGTGGGGACAGTGCCAGGCAGGAGCAGGAAGAGTCCCCATCTTGAGGCTGGGACTGGGGAGACTGGAAGGCACCCCTCCTGGCATTTTTCTTTAGTTCCAACTCAACCCGCATTTAGAGTCTGCAGTGGGAACCAGGTCCTGCTACTTCTGGGCCCTTCTCTGGCCTTGGGATGGTACCAAGAGCTTCACATTCGCTTGTAAAACCAGCATAACCCCATGACTTCACTGCAGTGTTTAAACCCATTTATAGACAGGGAAACTGAGGCTTAGAAGAGTGAAGTCACTTCCCTGAGGGTCAGTAATGGACCCGAGGTTCAAATCCAGATCATGACCTCAGTGTTCATGATCTAACATCTGTCTCTCCTCCCTTCACTTCCTCCCCCCTCCCCCACCTCCAGGCCTGTGCTGGGGCCCAGAAGACACAGGAAGACAAGATGGGAAACTTAGCCACCATTTCCAGAAAGGGCAGCCTGGCACCGTAACCTGCCATTGCCACTGCAGTATGGCGCATGGGGAGCTGGCGGTGGCAGAGCCCAGGGGAGCAGGTCCTAATCCTAGCCCTGGGGAACAGGGCTCAGGCTGCTAAGAGCTAAAGGACCAGATGTGGAGGAAAGTGAGGAGGGTAGTTCTGGGCTGAAGGGACGTGAGGCAGAGCGGGGCGGTCAAAGGGTGATGCAGGGCAGCCATACAGTGGCCATGGGCCCAGGCCTGAGCAGTAAGCTCCAGGCTTTTCCCCGTTTCTAAAGCCCAGGCTGTTTCCACATACCCTCGACTCCCATATCCCATCTCCTTGTGCTATTCCTTGCCACCGTAAAGCATGCGCGCGCGCGCGCGCGCGCGCACGCACACACACACACACACACACACACACACACACACACACACACGGAGAGAGAAAGTACTTTGTTTCTAGGAAGGTGCAGGCATGCTGGGCTACCTGCTGCATCAACATAATAATATTTTGCACTGAGAGGGCTCTTCCTAGGACGTGCAACTTTCCAGACACACTCTCTTTTGACCCCTGAGCTCTTTGTGGCAAGTGTCAATGTGGGTAGAGCTGACTCAGAGGGTCAGAAGCTTGACTACACAGCCACAGAGCTGAGGCCAAAGCCTGAGTGGTTCGGTTCGCAGCGTGTAGGGCAGGTGGCAGGCTAGTGTCTGCTTTCGGAACCCTGTCTCTCACCGAGGAGTGCAGAACCTGGGTTTGAGCACTCCCATTAGTGTCAGGGAGGGTCTACCGGGGTCAGGAACCGTCTGGGGACCTGCTGGCCCAACCTACATCACCAACCATCTGTCTTTTACTGTAGCTCAGAGCCCTGGCAGTGGGCTAGAGGCTGCCGGAGAAAGGGCTGGCTAGAGGTAGAGTTTCTTTCCTGACTGACACCCAAGCCTGCTCACAAGCAGGAGGGGATTGCAGTGCGCTACAGAGACCAGAAGCAAAGTGCAAGGAAGCTTTCTTTTAAAGTGGGCTGTGGGGCTAGGTGTGGGCACAGACACCTGCGAAAGCCATTTTGTTCAGTTTAGAAAGTGACAGAACACAATGTGTAGACAGGAGCAAACAAAACCATCCACTATTTCAGTGATTTTACACACACACACACACACACACACACACACACACACACACACACACACCAATGCAACCTCTTCACCTCTGTGTTCAGGATCAAAAACAGCGTTTTCAAAACCTAACTTGCAAGTGTCTGCAGAGATGAAGACAGAGCATTACTCCAGAAAAGGATTCCCTAAGGAAACTGGTTTGGGGAAGACATGGATGGATTCGGTCCAGGAAGGGCCTTCATTTACCTTGGTCTGACTGAGTAAGGGCTTTCAAACCTTTCTTCGGGACCCTCAATAGTACTTCTGGGGAGTGAAGATCTATGTCATAACTTGCAGGTGTATATGTGCACTGATGTATATATTTTAATACATAATATAGTCCCATGATTCAAACGTAAGAAGAGTAAATATTTTATAAAACAAATCTCCCTCTGGCTTCTCAGAACAGCCAGGGGGTAACTAATTTTATCTTTTTCTTTAATATCCTTTTAGAGATCTTTTATGCATACAAAAAAAATTTCCCTGGCATTCACACAAATATTTTTCCACAGAATCACTTTTCACACTTGCATAATATTCCTGTGTGGGCATATCATAATTTATGTAACTTACCGCTGTTGGGAGGTGCCTAGCATGCCCTCCCCATGCTCCCATTACAGGTCAACCCCTGAGAACCCTCCCTGTGCCTGCGGCCTCATCCCTACACATATCCAGGGGACACAGGCTGCCTGAGTTCTAGTCTAGGTCTGGCTACTTGTGAGCTTTGAGTCCTGAGGTCATTGACCTCAGTGTCTGTCTGCTTCAGTGTTTCTTATCTGCAAAATACAGGAGATACAGAACAGCTCCTACCTCGTGGGACGGCTGTGAGGATGAGCTAATGCGTGTAGAAACCTGGCATGCAGAGGGCACTTCATAAAGGTTAGCTCTTATTATTGCTGTCCATAATTGTTTCCTGAGGCGATCTCCCTAAAAGTGGGATTCCCGTGTCAAAGGCCATGCAATCCTCCTCAGCAATGAGTCCTCTGAAAGTCATTTTGTTCTGCCCAATTGCCCCCCTGGAAAGGCTACTCCGATCGACATTCCTCCTCTGAAGACAGGACCTGTTTTTGGTTGTTTTGTTTTTTCCACACCCTCACCATCTTGGGGCATTATCGCGTCTTTAATCTCTACCAATTAGCTAGGCAGCAGATAACGTCTCTTTGTTGTTGTGATTTGCATTTATTCGATGACTGGTGAGGCCAACAGTTCTTCTAAGTGTATCAGCCCATTGTGTTTCTTCCTTTGGAACTGTTCGTTCATGTCTGCAGTCTATTTTTCGACCCAGTGCCCATCTTAAGGATTTGCAAGAGCGCTCTGAAAATAGCAAGGCCACGGACCTTTCGTTACCATGTTTCTCCCCCAGGCTATCTGCTTCTCACATTTTAGAATACATGGCTGGCCTCGCTCCCCTCTCTTGCTTCCTTCCTCTTCTGGACCAAGAGCGTTTGTACACCAGTGTACTGTGGAACCTTCTGGAACAACTTCACGACGCAAAGTAGGAGTACTGCCCAGAATCCTTCTTTTCCCCGTGTCCCACGCTTTCACCTGCTCCAGGGTCCCTGTCGCACCTCATAGTTCCGAACTCTGGAAGCTAATGGGAACCACCTGGAGACTTTAAAACCTGGGCAGGGTCTGGGTACACCCAGGCATTGGGAAACAGGGCGGGGAAAGCCGTCCAGGTGGGTGGGTTCTCTGGCATGTATCTCATGTGCTAGAGAGAGTGTGTGTACCACCACTGCATATCCCAGTGCCTGGAGACACCCGGAGCACACCCGCACACCCGGATCCATTCTAAGGCTGACTGGCAGCTGCCACCTTGGTCTAGTGCTGACTTCTACCAAGTCTGCTTTGCCTTCCTGTGGCTAGGACACCGGAAGCTCCTGGTAGGTTCTAAAGTGCCCACTTTCCCTCCTGGAGTTCTGATACCAGGGAAGCCTTGTCCCCTAGCACCGGGGGCCACTTTGCTCCCGGCCTGACCCCAGCCAGCCACCGAGGGGTGGAAATGACATCTGGTGGGAAGAAGCCACGCTGACTCTGCTACCTGGCTCCCTGACTTGAGTCTCAGCCAAAGAAGGTACAGTGAGCCAGGGGCCACTGCTTCACGTGAGGGTGATGGGTCAGACATGCACCAGACAGGCCGGCAGCAGGCAGGACCAGAGGGTCCAAGGAGCTGAGGGTTCCAAAGCCATCCTGCATCTCCGTTAAAACATAGACTATTATCTTAGATCCCAAGGGTCCCTCTCCATCCAGTGGGAACTCATGTGTCTCACTAGCCACTTCTTGATAGTTCATGTGCTTCTGAACAACTCCAACTAGTTCACTCACTCCACATTCATTCATTCATTCATTCATCCATCCATCCATCCATCCATCCATCCATCCATCCATCCATCCATCCATCCATTCATCCATCCACGCTTTCATTCACCAACTCAATAATTTCCAGTGAATGATTCAAGCTGCTACATGCCGGGCACTGTTCATTCACTGGGGAATGAGCTAGATAGTCCTGAACTTGGGGAGCCTGACCGGTCAGCAAGCAACCAAGAGGAAGGATGAGGCAGTGACAGTGAGCCTGAGAGTTCATAGGCCTTACCAGCCTACGCAGCAGAAGAGGGCAGGGGCTGAAGAGGCCGGCCCCAGGTGACAGGGCTGTAAGAATCAGGATGCGAGGCCTGGATTGGGCTCGTATTTTTCTTTTTAACTTCTTATATGTCAGCTAGGTGATTTTTAAATGGCATATTTGAACTGGATCATGCTTGCCTTGGGCAGCACTGCTCCAAAGGGCAAGAACATAAGAATAACCACATGCTTGAATCATGCCATGTTCTTTACAGAGAAGCTTCTCTTCTAGCGTTTGGAAGTTCCTCACAGGAATCTCCCGAAAGGCAAGGCCAGGCCTACTCACTAGGCTCAGTTTTCTGCATCTGGAAAGTTCTTTGGTGGCTCTACCACAGCAGCTCCGATTGTAGGAAAGGAGCGCACACCAGATGGCCCTTGGAACGGCACCTGGGGACCTCTGCAGCCCCACTCCGGGGCCCAGAACTTGGAAGCTTTCTGTGGCAAGGCCTGGGGACCTCTCCGAGATAGCCTGGATTTGTTCTGAAGGTATCAGAGGAGAGCGTTAGAGACTCCAGGACCGGCAGACTGTCCTGTTTGTGCTTTAAGTTCTCTTAACCTGAGAGGACACTGTTTCTCCCTTCGTGGCTTTCAGACATAAGAACCAGGACTAGTATTCCGGGGTCACTCGAGACAAAGCTCATAGGTTGTTCATGTGGCAGACCTCAGCCACTTAGAGACAGCCTTCAAAGGGTTTCAGACATGACTGAGCTAATTCCAGGCCCCCAGCCACAGCACTCACCCC